TACCCCACCATCACCCTCACAGTGCCACACTATTACTAAAATGCCACACTACCCACCTTCCCCACCACAGTGCCACACCACGAACACGTCTCCTCCCTACCCCTCCTTCCCTCCCTCTCTCCCCTCCACCTCATGACACGCTACAACCCTTCCCCCTTCCCCATCCCTCATAAAGGACATGCCACAACCCGCCCCAGGTCACGCTATCACCCTCCCCCCAACACCGCCACCACCAGACCACAACCCCCCTCCCCAACACAGTTTAACCCCACCGTTTACCTCACAACCATTTCTCATTAACACGCACCTTCATTCTACCACGCGCGCAAAAAAAATATATACATATATACATTCATACATACAGTATACATATATCTACCACCTCGTTTATACATGCTAACTTCACTACTGTACCTGTTCGTTACCTGGGCAATACCTCATCTCTACTTGGTATTTAATGAGGACAAAAAAGTATGCATAATGTAGGAACTTTTATATCACAAAGGTCATCATTCATCGCTAACACCATACAGTCCGTGCGTATTCATTTATTCACACTGGTAAAAAAAATGAATGATACATATAATACTCAGTTAATAAGAGTCTAGGTTCACGTATACATAGTTAATAGGTGTAGATTCATGTATACATAATTAACAAGACTCTTGGTTCATGTATACATAGTTAATAAGACTCTAGATTCATGTATACATAGTTAATAAGACTAGGTTCATGTATACATAGTTAATAAGACTCTAGATTCATGTATACATAGTTAATAAGACTCTAGGTTCAAGTATACATAGTTAATAGGTGTAGATTCATGTATACATAATTAACAAGACTCTTGGTTCATGTATACATAGTTAATAAGACTCTAAGTTCATGTATACATAGTTAATAAGACTAGGTTCATGTATACATAGTTAATAAAACTCTAGACTCATGTATACATAGTTAATAAGACTCTAGATTCATGTATATTGTACATAGTTAATAAGACTCTAGGTTCAAGTATGCATAGTCAATAGAAGTCTAGGTTCATGTATACATAGTTAATAAGACTCTAGGTTCACGTATACATAATTAACAGGACTCTTGGTTCATGTATACATCGTTAATAAGACTCTAGGTTCATGTAAACATAGTTAATAAGACTGTAGGTTCATGCATACATAGTTAATAAGACTAGGTTCATGTATACATAGTTAATAAGACTCTAGGTTCATGCATACATAGTTAATAAGACTAGGTTCATGTATACATAGTTAATAAGACTCTAGGTTCATGTATACATAGTCAATATAAGTCTAGGTTCATGTATACATAGATAATAAGACTAGGTTCATGTATACATAGATAAGAAGTCTAGGTTCATGTAAACATAGTAAGTCTGGGTTCATGTATACATAGTAAGAGTCTAGGTTCACGTATACATAGTAAGAGTCTGGGTTCATGTATACATAGTCAATAAGTCTAGGTTCATGTATACATAGTAAAAAAGTCTAGGTTCATGTATACATACTAAGTCTAGGTTCATGTATACATACTAAGTCTAGGTCATACTAAGTCTAGGTTCATGTATACATACTAAGTCTAGGTTCATGTATACATACTAAGTCGAGGTTCATGTATACATGCTAAGTCTAGGTTCATGTATACATACTAAGTCTAGGTTCATGTATACATACTAAGTCGAGGTTCATGTATACATAGTCATCAAGATTATAGGTTAGGTTAGGTTCACTTTCATATAGAACGTTTAAATACACTTCAGCCAAACAACAACAAAACACACAAACAAACAACAAATACACCCATTATCACCATTCACCCATTACTATACACCATTATCACCCATTATCTCCATTCACCCATTTCTATACACCATTATCACCATTCACCCATTACTATACATCATTATCACCCATTATCACCATTATCTCCCTTCACCCATTTCTATACACCATTATCACCCATTATCACCATTCACCCATTTCTATACACCATTATCACCAATTATCTCCCTTCACCCATTTCTATACACCATTATCACCATTCACCCATTTCTATACACCATTATCACCCATTATCACCATTCACCCATTTCTATACACCATTATCACCCATTATCTCCCTTCACCCATTTCTATACACCATTACCTCCATTCACCCATTTCTATACACCATTATCACGGTTCATGTTCCACAAAGCGACTTTTCACTAGTTGGTGTTTCGGACCTTCTATCTTCTTTGCTTGTTCAGTGTCTCTCTCTCTCTCTCACCGTCTCTACTATCATTCTCCCTCTCTTCCTCTCATTCTACTATCATTCTCTCTCTCTCTCTTCCTCCCTCTACCATCTTTCTCTCTCAACTTTTATTCTCTCTTTCTCTACATTCATTCTTTCTCTCCATCTCTACTCTCTTCCCCCCCCTCCCTCTACATTCATTCTCTTTCTCTACATTCATTCGGTACTTTCTTCCTCTACTCTCTCTCTCTCTCTCTCTACTTTCATTCTGTTACCGTACGTGGATTCAGGCGGGCCGACAGTTTAATTATTTCCCCGCGTCCAGTTCAACTCAGTTTTCACACCGCTCACAGTTCATACAGTTCCGTCATTACCAGTCACTTCAGTTTCTGCTCACGCCCAGTCATTACACAGTCACCACTTGAGGGTTTTCACCAGTTCACCCCCAGTTCATTTACTGTCACCGCAAACACACAGTCACTTTAAAGCTTTTCACAGTCACAACCAGTCACTGTCACCAACTGTCACCCACCATAAGACAGTCACCGCCACAACACAGACAGTCACCATCACAACAATGACTGTCACCTCAAGTCACTGTCACCACTATAACACAGTCACTTTAAATGTTCACCGTCACGATCATTTTCACCACCACAACACACAAATCACTATCATCACAACACACACGTCACTACCCCCACAACACACACGTCACTATCACCACAACACATCACTATAACCACCACAACAACACATGTCACTATCACCACCACAACACATCACAAGAGACGACAATATCACCACAACAGTCACTGACACCATCACAACACACACGTCACTATCACCACCACCACCACAACAAACATGACACTATCACCACCACCATCACCACACACACACATCACTATCACCACCACAACAGTCACGACCACTCATTGTCACCACCATCCACAGCCTACCTCATCAACTCAACACACAGAATAAATTTTAGCAACAACATTTGACATTTCCCTCCACGCCGACAACGATTTTCACCATGGAAAAGTTTGCCTTGCCTCTTGCACCAGCATCTAGTCATTACGGCACAGTGTACAGTTCTACCAGCTAACATCATTTAACACCACACATAATTTTTTTTTTTTTTTTTACAATTTGCATCACTGAATTTTGGTGAAATTTGGCCTACCTTACCTGCCTATCTACCTGGTGTTGTCAACTAATTAATTACACAACATTGGCTACCGTACTGTCATAATAATTCAACATTCTAACATTGTAAACATTAACTTAAGGGACTTTTTAATATCATTCTAGTCACCACATACTATTAAACATTCTAACACTCATTCAATACATCATAACATCCTTCTCCAGTATCTATAATCACAACATACTAACACATCATTCACATACAAACACAACAACAACATTCTATCGACAACCAACGTCACTATTAAACATCACAACATTCTCAACACCTACAACATCCTTTATAACCAAACACTACAACCCACAACAACCTAAGTCCTTCTATACATCATTTCTACAACCAGAACGATAGTGATTTGTTTTTTTTTAATTTTCTTCTCACTGTCTACATCATATTTACTCTTCCATCTAAATCAACAATAATTTATATGAAGAAAAATAGATGCAAACTATAATTATTTGCCTTCACAATCACTATTACCTCCCCCCCCTCACAATCATCACTATTCTTTCTCACAATCATCACTTTTCTTTCTCATAATTATCACTATTCTTTCTCACACTCACCACCACTATCCTTTCTCACATTCACCACTATTCTTTCTGACAATCACCACCACTATCCTCATTCACAATCACCACCATCCTTACAATCACAACAATTTCTCCACTTTACAATCACCACGATTCATCTTCACAGCCACCACTTATCTCACAATTCCAACCACTCACGTCCAACACTCACAACTATACGTACCACAATAATTTCTACCAACCACTCACAAGCACAACCTCACAACCACTCACAAGCACCACCTCAACCATCTATTCCTCTCCCTCATAATAAAGCTCCTCCTCTCCCTCACAACTCACCATCTCTCTCTCACTTACTTCCCTCTCCTCTCACACTACCCCCCCCTCCCCCACGTCTCTCTCTCACTCACAGTCACACACCTCACCTCGCCCCTCACCATTACCTCCCCCTCTCCTCGCCACATGTCCCTCACACATTCCCGGGCAGGACTTGGACTTGGGTCGTGTGGTGTGGCCATCCTCACAACGTTCACCCACAACATAAGCCTAGAAGGTCTCCCACCAAAGAGACAGCCTACCACCCCTCCCCCCCACTATCCTTACAACAAAACCCTACCAACGATGGTCACAATCCCCACCGACCCACACCTCCACCCCCGACCCACCATCCTCACAAGGGCAGCCCCTGGACCCACCCTCACACCAACCACTCACCCGCGACCCACCTCTGCTGACCCAGCAGGCGGGTGGTGGGTGGGTCCTCCCCTCTACCACCCACCCCACCCTCTTCCCCGCCTCATCCACACCCCCACCATTCCCCATTTCCCCATCACTGACTTCTGCTGAACTTTGCAATAGTTAACCCATGACTAAAAATAATAGTATATTTTTTTATCGAACACTTTCTGTAATGAATGGGGGTGGATGAATGACGCAACCCACCCAGGACGAGAGGACCCACCTCTAACCCACCTCGACCCACAAGAACCAAGGTGACAACTCACTTTCCTGTTTAACTGACAATTTTCCTTTTATTTTGGAAAAAGAGTATTGATCTCCTGACAGTGAGTGGAGACTGGCGGGACCTTGTTGTTGACTGAGCGGCCGAGGCCCACTGTCACCAGTCACCACTGTAGACTGAGAGGTGGGTGAAGGTGGGCTCGCCCCCTGCCCACCTCGCTCACGCTAACGTCACCCTCACCCCAGGATTAGAGTGGATGAGTGGGAATAAGCGGGTTAGGTCGCCATCACCGACACTGTCCTGGAGTGGACGTTGGACTGTTCAAGACCTCGGCCAGTAAAATTATGTACAGGTGGTGTGGTGGTGTTGCAGATGATGATGAGTGAGGTAGTACGCCAGGTAGGGATCAGGGGCAGCGCTAAACTTAGCCACGAGCCCTGACACGGTGCCACTGAGTGCCACGGGCCGCTATGACGAAATGACTCGTGTTCCGTGGCAGCGTAAGGCTCACAATCCCGCGCCTCGCTCGCCACCGCTCACCTCGCCTCCGCCACTCAGAGCGCGCTTCTACACAGACACGCTCACAATAACACACTATAAACACAAACTCATATTAAACCTACACGTTAAACAATTTGATTGCTTATCCTCTTCCCCTCCAGACTTTCATTGTTGCGTTAACTCAAAAATCTTACGTGTCCTTGTACTCTTGCACTGAATTTACCATCTTCGCTTAGCTGGTTCCATGTCACTAAGGCTTGTATATCACTTTAGAGACTGTGATTAGTCTCCACTAGCACTGTATGTTCAAGTATTAGCAGTTACCAGTCACGTGTTCATTCTTCCCCACATTTCGACAACTTTGTATACCTGAACAGTGGTTAAATTGATCCGATCTCTAACGCGAGCGGCACCCAAACAGTCACGGTTCCAATATTCCTTGGCAACCACTGAAAACATTGAAAACACTCCACTACTAGTACGTAAAGTTCATTTGTTCCCTATGAAAGAGTATGTTTTTTAATCAGAGCTCATACACAAACAAGTTCAGTTCCCAAAAACTTGCGATTGCACATTCATGAAACCGTTTATGACAAAGTTTGGCTGCGAGTTGTGGCGACACTCGGGCGTTTCAGAAGACTGCGTTGCTGTTTTCACTCAGATCCAGTCTGCTCACAGCAAAAGGAGGCTGGATAAGAGAACGCATCTTTTCGCGAAGGTTTATTTTAAAAACGATGTTCTAAGCATTTTCTCTGGTATTTTTTGCTTCCTTAATTTGACAAATACATATACCATCATCACTATGTAATTTTTTAGGGTGTTATTTCAAAATTCTTGTAAAAGCGAAAATATTTCAACAGTAAAATTCGGCAATATCCTGTCGGTACCCAGACGGAAATTATTCATCACTACTATATATTAGCGTTTACAAAAAACACCTAACAAAGTTATTTTTTTATGCTTGCATATCACTCGGCGTAATTTAGCACTGATTGTTTCTGAATTTCATAAAATTTCGACCGTTAGTTTCCGTAGCACTATTAGTTCTCGCGAAAAGTGATGTTGGCGCGGTTTGGTGTAATCAGCTGGGGTAGAGGAGGCGGCTGTGAGAGACTGGTGAGGCCCGTCCTGCGATGTGGGAGGAGGACTGCACATGCCACCTACCACTCACACACCCACTACATACACCCACTTTCCCCCGCCCTGCATACTGCCCACCGCCCGCAATTCAGGGACTTCAAACTTCCCACCCACTTTGGCGCCAACTTTAGCGCGCGAAAATTTGACTCAACTTCGATGACCGCGTGCTACCAAAATAACAGCAAAACTTATCCAAAACAAACAAAAATAGGAGGAACTATGGAAAATGTGCTTTCAGTGTATGCTGAAAGTTGTCCTTCCTTCAGTAGGCCTGAACAGCAGGCCTGCTTGCTGTAGGCCTACACTTAGTTCTAAATCACGGCGACAGTGGTGTGCTGGCCTGCCGCGACACCCCCTCCTCCCCCCCGGCCTGCCCGACCCTGGCCGCCCGGGCTAGCGAGGTGGTCGGTGTAGGCGGTGGTCGGCCAGGCGGAAGCCTCGCTATAGCGGCCGCCAGCATGACATCGGCGGCCTCGCCTCATGAGTCGGCGTCACATGTGTCCCGCACACACCATTGCTGCCGCACCCCGACACCCTGGCCAGGGGGTCAACCCGCCCTCATCTGTGGTCACACCCCCGCCCTACCATGGCCAGGGTCAACGGGGCCCGGGTATGGGCGTGGGTGGGCGGCAGGACGGTGGTGCAGGCCGCGGCCAGACTGCGTGGCCCCCCGCACCAGCACCGCCCAAGTCAGGGTGGAGAGAATCGGACACAGCCTGGGTTTCTCGTGTAGTGCGCTGCTCGTCCGCCTTCCCTCACGTCCCTGCCGGGGTTTCCACCACCACCACATTCTGACAACACCCTGCACGACGCCCACCCTGCACGCCCACGCCAGGCACGGCTGCACCCACCACGACGCCCGCCCTCCACCCCACCCGCCCACCCCTACCTAACCTGCCGCCTCCTGCCCTCGCACACACACACGCACGTACACACACACGCACGCACACACACACTCCTGCCCACCACAACCTATTAATACCAAACTTTTATAAACAGTTGCACGTAAAATACCATTGCCACCCACACACCATGCACGATCATACATTGCACGTACACACCATACACGGTCATACACTGCACGCACACACCATGCACGTCATACACTGCACGCACACATTATGCACGTCATACACTGCACGCACACATATGCACGTCATACACCGTACGCACGCACACACTGCACGCACACACCATGCACGTCACACTGCACGCAATAATATAATGCACGTCACACTGCACGCAATAATATAATGCACGTCATACACTGCACGCACACATAATGCACGCTTCATACCGCACGCACACATTATGCACGTCATACACTGCACGCACACATCATGCACGTCATACACCGTGCACGCAATATCATGCACGTCCATAATACTGCACGCACACACCATGCACGTCATACACTGCACGCACACACCATGCACGTTATACACCGCACGCACACACAGGCACGTCATACACCGTGCACGCACACATCATGCACGTCATACACCGCACGCACATCATGCACATCATACACCGCACGCACAATATTATGCACGTCATACACTGCACGCACACATCATGCACGTCATACACTGCACGCACACATTATGCACGTCATACACTGCACGCACACATCATGCACGTCATACACTGCACGCACACATCATGCACGTCATACACTGCACGCACACATCATGCACATCATACACTACACGCACACATTATGCACGTCATACACTGCACGCACACATCATGCACGTCATACACTGCACACACATATCATGCACGTCATACACTACACGCACACATGCACGCTCTTGCATTCTTCATGCACGTAATAGCGCATGTACACTAATGCACGCACTCTACAAATATACACTACTCACCATTGCACGCACGGACCATGTACACCCACACAATTGCACACACACCCCCTTCACGTACACCGTCACGCCCTCGCCAGTGTCTGCACACACGATGCATGTACACACACGTATAACATGCGCACATACCATGGAAGCACACGATTACACACACACACACAAACGCACACACACACACTGTTGCGTGCGCGCAAACACGTCCCTTCACGCACACACCACCATGTGCATATACTATCAAGCACATAAACTACCACACGCAAACATTGCACCACGCACACATTTCCAAACGCACTTACCACTACATCTAGAAATCATACACACACCACCACACGCACATACCACCCCACACACACACGCACTCCACTACCACAATCATACCACACACACACACACACACACACACACACACACACACACCACAACATTCAAAGACCACTGCACGTACACTTACACTCACGCACACACCTGCGCTGGCTCACACCGCCACACACACACACACACACACGTAGGCTCTCTCTCTCTCTCTCTCACACAAACACACACACACACACACACACACACACACAGGCTATCTCTTGCACATATATATATATACACACACACACGTTGACACTCTCTCTCTCTCTCTCTCTCTCTCTCTCTCACACACACACACAGGCTATCTCTTGCACGCATTTACACACACACACACACACACGTTGTCTCTCTCTCTCTCTCTCTCTCTCTCTCACTATCTCACAAATACAAACACACGCACGCGCACCACCTCACTTGAACTTTCCTCACAACGGCGCATGACTGTAACCTGACGCATCACAAGTACACAGGGCGACGCATGACGTGTGTACCTGGGCTATATTACGGTGCTTGGTTAATGTACCTGCGTACCTTAACTTGGCCTCTGGAGTACGATAACTTTGCCCTTGCGTACGATAACTTTGTCTCTTGAGTACGATAACTTTGCCCCGCGTCGATCTAACTGTCATAACTCTCTTAGTACGATAACTTTCGCCTTGCGTACGATAGCTTAACCCGTGGAGTACGATAACTTTGTCTCTTTGAGTACGATAACTTTTTCTCTTGAATACGATAATTTTGCCTCTTGAGTACGATAACTTAGCCCTGAAAACGATAATTTAATCCCGCTGAATGTGTGATCTTGACCCCCAATTGAGTATTATAATAACCCCTTGGGTACGATAACAAGCCCCTTGAATATTATAGACTTAACCCTTGAGAACGATAACTTAATTCGCTTGAGTACGATAATTTAACCCGAGTGCAAACCCCTTAGTGCTATAATTTAACCCCTTGAGTTCATGACAACCCCTTAGTACTATAATTTAACCCCTTTGAGTACGATAACCTAACCCCTTTGAGGAATTAGGGTTATCGTACTCAAAGCATGTTATTATCATACTCAAGGAGCTAAATCATCATACTCAAAGGGAGCTAAGTCATCATACTCAAGGGAGCTAAGTCATCATACTCAAAGGGGTAAGTCATCATACTCAAGGGAGCTAAGTCATCATACTCAAAGGTATCATCATACACATTACCATTCACGTAACAAACACGTTTTACACTACTATTCGCCTCATCTGAATAACAACACCGACCTATTCATTAACACACTATACATAACTCAAGAACACATATGTATATCTTCATAGGGCAGGTGAGGACAGTATACATAACCTAACACCTGTAGGGAAGGTATACAATGATATTAGTATTCAGAACGTGATGACTTGGGGAGGCAGGTAGATGGGGAGGTGGGTGGGTGGGTGGGTGGGTGAAGGGGAGGGAGGAGGGGAGAGGGGAGAATTACCATACGTAATCTGTGCTCCCTATTACCCTCAATTTGCTGCCCCATTACCATACGTAATTGGTGTAAACATTACCCATTTGAGTTATATATCGTCATACTATTTGTCTTGGCTATACTTATGTTTACGCTGGTGTTTTATTTACATCCATAACATCGACTATCTCCTCCTTCCCCCGGGTTGATGTGTTGTCTGGTTTATACTACTTAGTGGTTTAATTGTGTTTTAGTATGGTAATTAGGGTTTATTTATGTGTTTTATGCTCATCCTATATATATATTATTCGACTTAAATCTTTCATAGTATTTAGGATATTTTATAAAACATTAGTTATATACATTATGTTAGCACCCTGTTTATATTATACCGAATTTGTGTTTATTATGGTGTTTTTTGCTATTATAAACATTACAGATACATTTATATAATCCTTCAACTATATACATTTGCCTCCTGGGGATAATAGTGCTCTTAATATATATAAATACATTATAAACATTGGCTATCTGTGTTCCCGTACACTATTTCCTGGTGCACACAGACAATGACTATATACATCACCAAGCAATTTATATTAACCCACCTAATGTTTACTATCACATATAAACAAAACCAATTTGAATTATCGTAATGTATATAATAATAAACACAACCATTGGCGCCATCAGTGTTTATATTACCGCTATCTGTTTATTATGGTGCATCCTAATGGTGTATAATGAAGGGCACCGTAACCACTATTCATTATTATAAGTTAATGGGCTCTTAATGGTCGTTTTCGGTAATTATAAAGGCGTCTAATGGTGTGATGTAACTACCGTATCAACTATCTGTTGATTGGATGCCTGATTACCTTGTGTTAATTTGTGTACAGGTGAAGATGACAATAATAATAATAATAATAATAATAATAATAATAATAATAATAATACAATAAAAATAATAACAGAACAAAAACAATAATAATGACAATGACAATAATAACAACACTGTACTAACACCAATAACAACACTGTACTAACACCAATAACAACACTGTACTAACAACAATAACAACACTGTACTAACAACCAATAACAACACTGTACTAACAACCTTAACAACACTGTACTAACAACAATAACAACACTGTACTAACAACAATAACAACACTGTACTAACAACCTTAACAACACTGTACTAACACCAACAACACTGTACTAACAACAATAACAACACTGTACTAACACCAATAACAACACTGTACTAACAACCAATAACAACACTGTACTAACAATAACAACACTTGTACTAACAACCATAACAACACTGTACTAACAACAATAACAACACTTTACTAACACCAATAACAACACTGTACTAACAACAATAACAACACTGTACTAACAACATAACAACACTGTACTAACAACCTTAACCACACTGTACTAACAACAACTTTAAACAACAATCACTGTACTAACAACCTTAACAACACACTGTACTAACACCAATAACAACACTGTACTAACAACAATAACAACACTGTACTAACAACCATAACAACACTGTACTAACAACCTTAACAACACTGTACTAACAACCTTAACAACACTGTACTAACAACCTTAACAACACTGTACTAACAACACTAACAACACTGTACCAACAACCCAACAACACTGTACTCAACAATAACAACACTGTACTCAACAATAACAACACTGTACTAACAACCTTAACAACACTGTACTAACAACCCTAACAACACTGTACCAACAACCCAACAACACTGTACTAACACCAATAACAACACTGTACTAACAACAATAACAACACTGTACTAACACCAATAACAACACTACATTACTAACAACCTAACAACACTGTACCAACCCTAACAACACTGTACTAACACCAAT